GATATGATTTGTCACTTATGTGAGTGAATAGCTCAAACAAAAAAGTATCTAGTTTTAATTTATCAGCAAATTTGACAACATTTCTACCATGCAGTTTAATGTTACGCATGGTTAAGACTGAAGAATTTCTATTGTTTCTGAACAAATCATTTGACACTTAAAAACAGATGCAGTTAATTAAAGACTAACTGAGGAGATTACAAATAAAAAGAGCTAACAATTAAAAAAGAAAAACGACTAATTATGGAAACATAGTAATATGTTTGCTGTAAAACTACGCGAGGTTAAATGAATGCTTTACATAAACAGTAACTTAATGAACATAAAACAATATGGTTATTTGGCTGGACAACAAGAAAGAAAGATTTCTTTGAAATCTTGAAAAAGATTATACGACCAAAATTAATAATGATTTACTTAAACTTTTGATGGTTTATGCATAATAAAAAAAAACTACTGAATTACTGTTGCAAATACAACTTTTCCTTTCTAATATATATTTTGTATCAATAAAATGTCATGCTCAATGCGCTGAACTATTGAAGGCAGGTGAATATAAGCTTCAGTCTTTCACTTTCACTATATTTGCCACATATCTGTTCTAGGCTATAACTTGCATTTACAGAGCATGGTACTAATAACAAAACAATTACAGAGAATAAAAGAATGAAGCTGGGCATGAGATACAGATGTGTATGCAAAATGATACAAAACTCTTGTTTATGTAGATTACAGATATTTGCTTTGTCTAAATAATGTTCTAAAGTCTATAGAACAAACAGCCAAATTTGTCAAATGTGTGTGGATTAAAACATGTAAAATACATTACAATTAAGCAAAGAAATAATGATAATAGCAACTTGTCTCCTGCAGAAATTGAAGAATTCTGAATTGAATGGCAATCATTACAAAGGATCCATATAGGGGAAGTTCTTACAATGTAAAGTAAACAGAGAATAACATTTTAGTTTAAATCCAACTTAGCTTTTTTTTTTTAAGAAACAAGAGGAAATCAGGGCGTTTGAAAGCAAAGTAAATGTGAATCCACAATTCAATATAAGGTACTAGTAACCATATTGCATTAACAAAAACAGCAGTTTTATAGCAGTCACTCTCATACTGTCAAAGAAAAACAATCTGAAAGCTCCAGCTATCCATAAATGCTATTTTGCAAATTCAGAAATAATTAACAATCAATTGAAAGGGTGGAATGACTTATGAAAGGTGAGGGCAGAGTGTGCTCAGAAAAATCTGCCCTGACATATGGATCTGTGATATATAAACTTACAAGCACCTTTTCAGCAGACTAACTGCCCTTCATACCCAATCAAATGGAGAGAGGGCTGGAAACAAAATGTGGCTGGTTCACATTTGTTCTGCTGTGGCATGTGCCCTACATGCCGCTCTGCCGAGAGGCTGATCGGTACCACAAGAAATGTCAGGTCACTGGAACACAACCTGATGTAAAAATACACGTGACATTCATGTCTACTAGTACCAGTCCACAGGGGCAGCCACATCCTGCAAGCATCATGTCACAAACACAACATTATTCCTGCACACCCTTCCTCAAGATTTTCTAACTGTATACAGTTCATCTTACCAAAGAGCCATCTGTGGAAGCAGGTTCAGATGCTTTGGTGATTTCAAGGGACTGTTTTATTCCCCATCTGGGAGGCACTGATGCCAGCTTTGTCTGTGCCAGCAACTAGGCTTTTTCTGCAGGGTATGAGAGACTAGATAAAAATGTATAAAGCGGGCTAAATTAGTTCTGCTTTTTTTCAGCGTGTAAATGACTGATAACATGATGTGCAGACAATAAAAAGAGAGGGGGCTTTTTCTATTTCAGCACAGTACAGTTAACTTTGGGTTAAGAATTATAAACGCGGGACACTGAACAAAAGATTTATAAGTTAATAAATTAGAGTCGGTAAATTAATTAGTCAGACTTTAAGTTGCTTTAAAACATTAAAAATGCAGTTCATATGAAAATGAATACAACTCATCTAATATAAATGCATGTTTTCAATTTTAAAATTAGTTCTAAAATAAAAAAATCCTGTAAAAATAAATCTTGGCATTTTTTTCTTTTCTTAAAAAGCAGTGAAACGATTTAAATATGAATATTTAACGAACTAAATTAAGATATGTTTTTCAGATATTTACATTTAGAATTCAAATAAAAACTAACATTTTAAAATGCAAGACCAGCAACAAATCATACTTCAAACTATTCCAAAAATAGCCTGCTCTAATAAAATAATCCTAGACACGTGGGCAGTGCTGAGACATTTTACGGCCATAAATAACTCAAGAGATAATAGCCCAAACATAAATATATATATATATATATATATATATATATATATATACAAGAGTGTTCGAGTCTGAAAATCGAGACCCAAAACTTTAAACCTGAGCTAATTCAATTAAATTTAGCCCTGGGTTTGAAACGAATCTAATCAATGCACTTTTCTCTGAAAGCATGAACTGTCCTCGGAGTCTGCTCATTGCAAAATGAAAATACATAAAAATGCTTTGCATCATTCCACATTCGATTGTACACTGCATAAACAGGCGACCCTGGATTACATGCTTCAAACGACGCAAAATCAGTCAACAACATGAGTTTATCCCGTAATTGGAAAATATAATAAAATAAGCCATGAGTAGCCTACATGGAAATATTAAATAAATAGAGCACAATGACCAAGACCATAATTACGAAATATAAATAAACTGAAAAAACAACGTCTTGTTTATAGGCTACAGATAATTAGGCTACACACATTAAAGCTTAACTGTAAATCAGCGCTGAACCCATAAACATTACAATAAAAAATAGTCAATGTTTTATTATCAATGGCAGACAGCTGGGGTAATTAGCAGTAGAAATACTCGTCTCAATATTGTTACAATGCAAGCAACCAACTCATTGCAGAAATCCAATTAAGCTCGTATTTCCTTCAAGGATTTGGTTGCGGCAGACACAATGATCACTTCTTTTTTTTTTTTAGTTTTTTTAGTTCTTTCATTGATAGCGGAAGGATTGGTGTACGAGAGAACTTCAATGCAGAACCAGAAATAAATGCTGTATTGAATTTTATAAGGAACGCAGCTTTTGCTGACACTGTTTTATGACGCTCTTTATTTCCCCTCACTAACGTTCTCAGCTAAAAAGTGCTGCTTTTTAATGCCACCGAATACAAACACTAATGTAGATCGCTTTAAATTAAGACGCCAAAAATAATATTTTAATTAAGCCATCACACGATAATAATAATAATAAATACAAAAATATCAGGAGCAAAACAAATAATATCTATGTTTTAATAATATTGGACACAGGTTGCTGAGAAGAAAATATAATGCACTTTTAACGAATTACTCACGGTTTCACTTTGCTGAATCAGTTCGGCATCAGACAGGGTCCTGCATACTGACATTGCTGGATATGTTTAGGTTGTGTAGTTTAGCCAGATTTGCCATCTTGCCCAGGCTTCCCCTCTGCTTTTCATATTCTAAATTAATGCAAGCCTGCTTTACCATAGGACTACGCTATCACCGTCTCTTGAGTTATTTAGTTATTATGCATGATGTCGTAGGCTACTTACAGACATTAAAGCAACTGCAAAATCTTACAATAAACTAGATGTCACATGCTGTTTACTCGAATCGTTACCTAACCAACTTAAAAGGCTGGCTCGAATAGCTTGTTGTTGCTGAAAGAAATCTGGATAAAGAAACTTAGCAGGCCTTATAAAAAATAATAATAATAATTTTTGGTTGCTGCATACAAATTAAAAGACATCTCACACACACCAAAAATATCCTGACCATGAATAGGCCTCGAAACCTAGAAACCATTCTTCTCTCTACTGTGGTTTTGGATTAACAGTGTCTTAAAAATCTTTAAATTAGGATAAAATTAAGAACCTGCAAAGGTCACATTAGTTTACATTAGTAAACTATTAGTGTTGCTAATGTTCGACTGATGGCAAGAGTGAGCATCGGATATTTAGTATCATCACACTTTTTCTCTCTTTTTTTTTTAAATGTTCCTCCGACTGACGGTTGCTGAATAGAAAAAAAAATTGCATAATTATATGACAAAAAAGTGCTGCAACGTCATAATTTTTTACAGCCACTAGACCAAATACATTATGAACACGTCATAATGGGCAACGTTTTTTTTTTTTTTTTCAAGGATTATTATAGAATTAGAATGAGAAAGCTACAACATTCGTCATTTTTTCTTGGATACTACTTTATGCTGATTGTTAGACACCAAATAAAAAAATCCGATACCAACTTGAAACATGATATAATGTTTGCAGTAAGAAAAAAAGGGACTGTCAAAATACAATTTAGTGACAAGTTCTACTCTGACTTGAATCTAAGTCAATAGAGATAGCATAGAAATTAAAATTATTTAAATGCACTAAAACTACATTAAATCGATGGCAATATATGATGTCAAACGTGGTATCAGAACAGAATGATCACCACAAACTTGTTTATAAAGATAAAAACGTCAGTTAAAGTGAGAAAGGATTTGTAACATAAAAGAAAAAACATAGAGCCTAACAATGAAAACACATAAGTGGCTAATACACAAACATATAAACCCAGATCTAGCAGTTTTCTTTGTTGGCAAGATGAAGTCTAGTTAAAAAGCATTGCGAATCAGCCATTAAATTGCTCCCTCCGTGTTGCCCTTCACATTCAATAAGTTACATATTTCATATCCTAATGACATTAATGTCATGTGTTAAGTCCCCCCACATATTTCCAACAAAACATTTTTTCTTCTTAGCAAAGGTCTGACCTCACCCATTCATTTCATCTACATAATAACCGAGGAGAGGTCTTGACGTGCGTAGTGGGCTATACCGAGGAGATCTGGGCTGCATCTTCAGAAGACGCATTTTTCGTTCCTCCTCTAACTTTAAGGGGGCTTTTTAGCTTTTGGGTTATACCGAGGAGATCTGGGCTGCATCTTCAGAAGACGCATTTTTCGTTCCTCCTCTAACTTTAAGGGGGCTTTTTAGCTTTTGGGTAGCTATCCGTTTCGGGAAAACATCTGAATCATTTTATAACCAAAGCCAGCTGCTGCACAAGTCTATGCGTGCGTGTGTGAGTGTGCGTGTATTCGTTTTGTATGAGGAAGAGGGAGAGAGTGTTAAGAGTATCTGATCGCTTTGCTCTCCAAAAAGGAAAGAAAGAAAGAAAGAAAGAAAGAAAGGGGGGAATCGCTTGGACTTCTTTTTCTTCCCGAAACTTTTTTTTTTTGTAGGAATGAACGCAGAGACGTGCGTTTCATACTGCGAAATGACATCTATGGATTCATATTATAGCCCATCTGCACCGCAAGGTAGGGATCACCAGGCGAACCCTTTCAGGACATTCCAGGCGAGTGACACCAAATACAGCCCCGCTTTCCTGACCAACAAAGGTCAGGGGTACGGGGAGAAATCTGGGAGCCCGTTCCAGCAGGAATGCCAGTCATTGGATGCCACTGCTGGGGAAGGCACCTTTAACAAATACCACCTCTTCATGCAGAGGTCCTCCTGCAAAACTCCCCCAGACAGCAGCAAACTCCAGCAGGAAAGCGGACACAACGGAGGACTCATCGCGTGTTATGGTGAGTTTAAAAGGAAGCATTTGTAAAACAGTCTTAGCACGCAGAGAGAAGCAACTCAAGATTTTCACCTTGAAATAAACGCAGAGCCAAAGTGCAAGCAGATTCTAGTACGCGTAGCATTCATCTGCAATGATATTAATGTTTTTATGACTCTGTTAAAACAGGATAATCTGCAAAGCCCTTCAATAACAAGCTACAATTAGACCAGGTTATTCATACTGATAATCACATCAGAGTAAAGTCCATCTGTAGGCTAATATTTACAAAGCAAATGCAATGGACTTCACAATTTACTACCAATATAACATGGCTCAGCTATCACAGTAACACAATTAGGAAGATGCATAACCTCCCCGGCTATTACATTTTACCTTTGAAGACCGAATTGAATTATATTTAATGCGATAATCTGAATTACAATACTTAATACTTTGAATCAGACAATTGAATTAACGCATTTCGGAAGGCAAACGCAACTAATTATATACGCTTTTACAAGTTGTCTATGGCACATTGAGTGTTTTGAAATTTTCTCCGACATGATTGCAGGCTCGGATCTGTACACCAATATGAAACCCCATCTAGGCTAACAAACCAAGACCAAAACCAATTCTAATAGATATGCAAGCGCGTACTCCTGCACAAAGAAAATTAAGTGGTGTGCATTATAGGGAATTAGCTGTATTCAATAAAATATTTGAAAATGCCATATAAATTAATTAAAATGTTAGTGTAAAAAATCGAAGGCTTTGGAATGAAAACTGAACTAGCATACTAAATCAAAACACTTCTTTAACCAATAGGGTACTGAAAGTGGTATGTTGTAGCATCAGTAATAAACTCTGTAGAGTCATTTCATCTTCTATAATTGTATATTTAAAAAAGAAGAAAAAAAGAAAAAAGAAACCCACAAATTTCTTTCTTTCAACACGTTCTAGCAATCTGTGGATGAAGCTATTCGTGGATGGAAACGGCCCTGAGGACATGTAAAGGAAGCAGCATTAGATACATGAGAACTTTTCTCAGGGTTCCCGTCCTTTGATATCCATCACTATCTAATGCTATTTAATAATAATAATAATAATAAGATACGAATGACCTTATTATTAATAAATAAAATAAAATAATAAAATAAAAATAAAAATAAAAATAAAAAGACTAAAATAAGAGGGAAATAGGAGGGACACGAAAGCCAAAGAGCTGGTAGCGGTAGCCCATAATGAGGTTGGAAAAATGTTTCAGTGTGTCCATAAAAAGTCTTCTGCAAATATTTGTTTTAGTTAATGCATTTTTAACAATGAACATATTTTAAACTGACACTAATGTGTTTGAGATTAAACGAATTTGATCAATTTAACAAGAACAACGTCAGGTGTGCTGTACGACCATAAAGCTGTCTGGAGCTTAAAATATTAGAAAAACAGGCTTATAATCACTAAAGCCATTTCTAAGACTGCACTGTTTCCGGCTCATTCCAAAGTAATATTTCAAAAACAACACCAACAAGATTACGGTAAAAAAAAAAATGTTTGGAAAATGCCTCATACCGATATAAAATTACAAATAAATATCATAACAGTAAGAGTAAGAAAAAAAAATAAAATAAAATAAATATATATATATATTACATATATATTATAATATATATATTAAAAAAAAATATATATATATATATATAAATACCAGAAAAACACACAACACTGGCTGCAATAAGAAAGGGCAAAAAGACTATGCTAACCACACTATATCTCAGTCTGTTACAGGCCTAAGAACTGTGTCCTCCGGAAAAGACAGAGACAATTTCATAGGCTATTTCGAATGGGGGCAAACCGCAATACGGGTTCATCTTTTAGTTTTAGTTGTCAAAAAGATTTGAGGAACAGCATTGTAAAAGAGATCTAAAGAACATGACGAGATTATTGTTAGTGAAAACAAGGGGTAGCCTATTAGTGAAAACAACGAAGGGAGAAAAAAATAATTAAAAAAGCAGCAGAAGCAGCAGCAACACAATAACAACGGCATTATTTAGTAACACTTTTAGAGATATACTAATTAAGTAGGCTAATTGTGATCGCATTCATATTTTCATAACGACCGAATACAAACAGCTGCAGCTGCCGGCAACGCGCTGCATAATAAACGAATGACGCAGCGAGATATCGACATAGCTACATTAGATTTAATAATGGTCTGTTGTGCAGATGTTGTCAAATAAAAGTCTATTTCCCAAACTAATCAAAACCTCTTTGACACGGAAAAAAACAAAAAACAGGACCTTACAAGCGAATGGCAAAATTAGCTCGTTTAATTTTAAGTTAAGATGCTTTAATAGGAAACACTTTACAATAACTTCCATACGTCTTTATTAATATAACATGATGTAATGCCAACAGACCAGCTGTTGATTTAGATTTATAAAGGCCTATAAACAGATATTTAAATCTTATATGAAGTTAAATGTAATGACATTTCAAAATATACTAATGTACATTACCAAGTACCTCTTATGCATTAATGTTTGTTCATAAATTAAAGTTATTATAAAGTGTTACTTTGTGATGGGAGGAAGAGCAGTTCCAATTAATCTTTCAGCACATAACAATCAATAATTGATCTGCTCACAAGGTATAAGCTGGCTGAAGGTAACAGAAAAACAGGGGGGAAAACACTTGTCTGTTTAAAAAAAAAAAATTGGATGTCTATGTAGAACATGTAATGCTTATTGAAATCAGTTACAATAAGTGGTGATATTTTTAACAGTATCCTGCTCTGTTCATCACTATTTGTAAATGGCTGCTGTAGAATCCATGCCTTTGGTTGCATCCTGTAAAAAAAAACAGCATCTCAAAATCTCAGTTCTAAGGATTAGTTTATTTCTCAATAAGGGATAATAAATGCATCATGTAATTGATCTAGAAGTTAGTGAAAACTGAGTAACTGACTTAAATTGAAAACATGTTTCATCCATTTCTACACAGATGAATGAGTTAATGACTGTTTGTGTGCTATATTTATGATATGAATATGTTTGCAACGGACATATGTAACTGCTGAAAGCTGCCACAAACATAACCCTTTTAAGACAATATGTTGATCATATAATTAGGAAAAGCAACTTTGAAGCACAAAGAATAATAATCCATTCTGATGAGGTTGGCCGATGCAGATAACTACCTTTCATTAGGGCAATGAAATTACAAAATTGTCTAATTTGAAGGACCATTAGGATTATCACATAGTAAATCATAATATAATATTCAGATTTGCATTTCATTTACAATAACTTGTTAAAAGGTAATGATTCATTTTGTTCTGAAGAGACATCATTACAGCATCTCACAAAGAGCAACATACAAAATGTAATTCCAGAGAAATTTGTTAGGCCAAAATGAAAGTTGCTTAGGCCCATTTTGTGTGTCGTGATTTTATGAGGTATGATGCCTAAAGAGGAAATACAAGAAGTTAAACCATGATACTTACCAGCCTCAAGCGTAGCTTAATTTCTAATTCTGAGCCGCAGTCACAGACTAGACTTGCATCAATGTCACAGTTCTCCTGGGCATGATTATTTTGTCAAAGATGGTATGTGGTTTTCAAAACAAGCTTTTAAATAATTCCTCCTCGGTGGTCAGCACCAATAACAAAAGAACACAACACTCTTAAAAGGAAGCCTTTCATCACCTCTTCAGTGAAACCCCAATTTTACCACACCATTAGCTAACACGAACACTACAATTGTCCTTACAACAAAGATTAGTAATGTAGGTCAGATGTAAATGGACAAGGTTCATGTTAATGGAGACTAAGCCCAAAACCAAAGGGAGTCCGTGAAATGTCAAAGGATGACGACTTCATACAACCTTGTAAAACAAATGCCTTGGACAAATACACAACACATCACCATCACGGCATTTGCATTTGGCTTGAGAGGTTAATTGAAGAACTCACATAAACTTATGGTAATATCAACATTAAACGCATCAATTAAGCATGCACTCGCACAGCACAAATATCTCTTTTATATCATGTCATGGTGAACAAGGTATTTAAGCATTTCAGTATTATTACAGGCCGTTGATAGTTGACGTTTTAATAAACTACAAAGTATTTATGGGCTAAAATATTTGCAATACAAGAAGTTGGCAGTTTATCAGTTAAGAAATGATGATGGCTTGATTGACAATCTTGTACAACAGGCAGCATCATGACTTGTTTGGTTTCGTCATTGCTTCTTTTTCAGTATCGTTTTGTATTTTGGTGGTTGTGTGAACCAGTAAAGCTCAAGTTTGCTCATATAGTTTATCTACTGGCTCTGTTGAGAGCAACATCAAGATACAAAATGGCAGAATTTAAAGTCTTTTGTCCGATCAGTGTTTGAGAAAACCTGTGTGCAAAATAATAGTTAGTGATTACATTCAATTTCAAAAAGACTTTTGATATTCCTAGTGTGTGTGTATGACTGTTTTCGTATATTCTTCTTGCTTGCTAACCTTTTTAAGCACTCTCAGTAAATCTAGCAAACTTATGTTTTTTTATGAGTGTTTGGCCGATATGATGAATACCTATATGAAAGGAAGTAGCTCAGCTGCATTTCTATAATGAGCCTTTTTTTCCTGTTGTAAAACACAATTAAATACTGCAGGTAGGGATAAAAAGAAAAAGTATTAAAATGTTCTAAAAGTTGCCAGAATTCTTTTGAGTGTTCACTTTTTTCAGTCCCCTTTGTCATAGAAATAAATAAAATAAAATCATATAAATAAAAATAACTGGAAAAAATAAGACATACTGTATATTTTGACACACACTAAACAAATAATAGTTAGATTTGTCGCACTGAAATTCCTGAAGAACATCCGTTACTGCTTTAATTTACACTACATCTGAAATACCAAAATGCTATATTAAATGAATGATAACAATTGTGTGAATTATTAACATGCATTATATGAATTTGCTTCAGTAAGGACTTACAATGTCTATAGTGCTGCAATAGTACAAAA